CTTTTAGCTAATACCTAACGGAATAAAGATTGACCTTTTCTGCCGTAAAGGTCAATCTTAAAATACTATCAAATCTTATACCGATGTCCCAAAAAACACCGGACTCTGTTCGATTTCATGTAACGTAAACGCTATAAAAGCTATCGCAATGAAATAAAGATTATTGCATTCATAATGGACAAACTTAGAATTTGATATCCGCGCCGCCGTGTAATATCCTATATATATATATATATATATATATATATATATATATATATATATATATATATATATATATATATATATATATATATATATATATATATATACAAACTGAACAGATATGAATTTGCTCTCAATTTCGCAAAACAGCTATTTGTATCCAGTTTTTGATGTTTTTTTCGCTAATCTAATTTGAGTACTTATAATGTAGAATAGTGAAAAAAATTTCTCGAACACAAATTTCGTGAACCAGGGGGTGTGTCTTTTCCAACAAACTAAAAATGGCTCGCGCACGAAATTTATAAGCTTTAATTGTTATTGAATTAACATTATATACTAAAAATAATGAATATTGTTTATTTTCCGTAACTCGTTTACATCTTTCAAACGTTGGGGTGGAATGCCCCTCAAATTTTTCTCAAATTTTTGAAAAAATTAAAAAATATTTTGGTTTTATATGATGCCTCGGTTATCAAACGATTTTATGATTTTATGCCTAAGGGTTTATTATTATTTTAAGGGTTTTTTACTGGATGTTCACTCGTTGCTATGGAAACAAATTTATTTACCCTTATTTACAAAATTTTCCGTAAAAAGCGTGGGGTATTTAGGAAAGACTGGGCTCTAATCTAAGCTTTTCCCCAGGCCCCCTCATTCTCATACCCAGAGCCCCTCGTCGCACTGCGCGTAAAAAGGGCTCTGAGTACGAGAAAAGAACCTCTAAATCTTCAACACAAAGTTCTCAAGGCATTTCTGGATTCAGGCTTTGTGATATATATAGAACTTATTGGAAATGTTTTTTCCATTGTCAGCTGCCCAGAATGTAATTCTCCAAGTCTTTCCCTGGAAGAAAATAGTATCAAACGCAAAGGTTGTGCTTCTAAACTCCACCTCACTTGCCAAAACTGCAAATGGATGCATTTGTTTTGGACTTCAAAACGAAAACAAAAGAGGTTTGAAGTAAATCGACGACTAGTGTATGGAATGTGAAGGATTGGCAAAGGTCATGCTGGTGAATCAAAGTTTTGCTCTGTCATGAACATGCCACCACCACCTAGACCAAAATCTTCGAAGTCGTCTCGTGTCATTGCTAAGCATGCAAAGACACTTGCTAAGAAGAGCATGAAAGCAGCTGCAAAAGAAGTGTGTGTTTTGCAACAAAATGAAGATGTTGATGGGACAAATCCTGTAAACTGTGGTATTTCATGTGACGGTACCTGGCAACGAAGGGGACATTCTTCATCAAACGGGTGTGTTACGGTTGTGTCGATAGATACCGGGAAAGTTCATGATGTTGAGACACTGACTACATTTTGCAAAGAGGCAATCATTGAACTTTTAAATCTACTGGATATTACTCCTGGCCAGTTTACAGAAGTTGCTTGTCAATTTGAAGACAAGTTGAGAGTTTTGCATGCAGAACACAAACCCACGCCCGAAGTTAAAAGGAGGCGTAAAGTGATGGGAGGACTGAAAAAACAAAAGTATGACAAAAACAAACAGAGGGAGGGAGTAAAGTATGGTGCTGGAGAGTTCTATTGACTTTTAGGGACACGAAGTGTTTTTGGTAGGCAATTACATAGTATGAAAAGTTTAAACTGTATTTTCTCCAATAAACGATTTTCCCAAGGTTTGTAATCTGCCAACAATGATATCTCAAAAACAAGTTAATAGATTTGGCTAAAATTTTCAGAGGATGTTTACTTCATCAAAAGCTATGCAATGAACAAGAATGAAGTCATTAGGTCAAATACTTTTTGTGCTATAAGCAAAAATTCATGCTGATCATGATTGAATTTCAGGCACTCACATTGTTTCATTCAGAACTTAGAAACTATTTATCTGATTTAAAATCTTTTAGTTCATTGCATGGGTCTAGTAGTGATTATTATTTTCCCAAAGTTTCATACAGACAAATTTTAAATTGCTTTTGAGTTATCACGTCTGGCGTAATGGTCCGCTGCAAGGCGTTTCGAGCTGTTATGTTGGTAAGCATGACAACAGCATATGTCGAACTCACATAAATGTAAATACTTTTCTATGGGCATTCATAATATACCATTTAAAGTGGCTCCCTAGGGTTTTTTAATTTACTACACTATAGTATTCAGGAGACTCTTGTTTCTTTACTTTACATGATATGAAGACAAAATTTATTGGACACATTGACAATGTTCTCCTGAACATTGCAAATTGCTACTTTTGTGTTAAAAATATGTTGTCATGGAAACAGCATGCTTAGAATAAAGCTCAAAATTTGTCGTTTTCAGGTCATTTTAAAAAGTTCCTTCGGTGAAATTTTTTAAAACTTTGCATAAAAGATAATACTTGTATAATGAATTTTTGCCCTCAATTTAAAAAAATTAAATCGATACGTTTCTTAGAAAATTTAAAAAACGTCAAAAATCGATATTAAGAATTTTCCCTTCGATTTAATTTTAAGAAAAAAGGATATTACACTTGTTGTACCGATATTAAAAAATGTCCAAAGTTTTAAAAAATTTTAACGAAGGAA